GATCGATGTTCCAGGTTATTTAAATTCAGAGGAGGGTATTAAATTTATAAAAGTTGTACAGTGCGACTAATCAAATTCTATTTGACATAGAGTTAAATTAATTGCTCCTCCTTCAAAATATTACTCCAGCTAAATGAAGTTGAAATACTGTGCATGCATTACATCATTATAAACTGAGGCCCTTAAAAGGTGGACAGTTTATTTTGCTCTGAAAATTACATTCAAGTGTACAGTGTGCACTCCGATGTAAATAAACGGAAGAAATTTTTACTGAACTGAAACCTTGGCATGTGATGCTAATTGTATTTTTTTTTGTGACAGATGTCAGAAAACCTTGCTTACATTTACAAACATAGTTTCAGATTGGCACCCACTGAATGCTGTTCATAAAGCAACCTGCAATAAATGTCGAGATAAAGATCAAAAAAGGAAAATGCTTTTAGATTGGTAGGTACACTGTTCATGGATACTTATTTATATCGAATACTGATTGGAACTTGTGTTTGGAACTACTAAAATAAAATTCTGTTTCTCCCAGTGTGTCATCAATATATATGCTACATTTTGTCGATGGTTTACCACATGCAGACTTGGACATTTACAGATTTGACTTTCAAGGCAACTCATACAAAATCTGTACTATTATTCAGTATTTGCAAGCTGTGAAACACTTTGTGACGTGGATCCAAAATTCTGATGGTATGTATTGCCTTTTCAGCCATTAAATTTCAATATTTTGACTAGCTTTGTTTGCTAAGAATCCTAGCAAGGGTTGAATTGCTTTTCAGTTGGTGCTTGAAATGATAATGTTGGCAAGCTAGGAAAGTGTCATTTACTGCAAACTGCTAGACTTGGGGTCAGTAGCCATAATTTGGGATCTAGCATTGCTTGGTATCTGCCAGGCCTGAGGCTTTTAGATATCCTGCCCAGACGAAAGCTGTACATATATCTGAGCACATGCGTAGAGCTCCCTTCAACAGTGACCAATTTAAATATTTAGTGGAGAATTGCTTCTCCCAGTATTTCAAGGAAATTAAGTGCTAGGAAGTCTGTCAGGTACGTTTCTTTTATTCTTTCTCATTCCTTTCTTGCCCTCCACTACTTTTTCAGATTGGATTTACATTGCAAAATTAAACTTGCAGATTATTTTTCCATTCTGTTTAAACAAATAATCTAAGTGATATGCCATCTCAGTGAGTTGAAAATATAAAGTTTAACCTAGGTGATCAATTTTCAAAATTTGAATTATAAAACGAGTTTTAAACTTAAGTGTAAATTTTACTTCAGTTAACGTTATTGCCATTGGCGCGCACTTTTCATTGAGTTACCTATTGGTAAATTAAGAGAAAAAATTGACCTGAGGGCTCCACTTATTAGTGATAAGCCTTCTGGAATTGAATGTGTTCTTGTATGTTGAAGATTAACCAGCTTCATGCAAGACTTACAGGAGCTAGATGCTACCTAGTATTCGGTGGGGTGGGGGGAAGAAAGCTCTCTCTTTGGATAGTGGAAATAGTGAGGCAAAAGAGAAATGCTAAATGTAGTGTTCTCCTCTGGAAATGAATTGTCCAGTGATTTACGTAATCTGGGACGTTGATCAGATAATCAAGATACCTTTCTTCACTACCTGAACCAGTTGGAATAAACATTTCTACAGGGCTAAAGAAAGTTGTGTAAATTGTATGTTGATCCCTTTAAGAAATAGGCTTATTGACAGGTTTACTTTTTCCATTTCTTTATTAACTCTGACAAATGGATGACTACAAATAATAAATTTGAAATAATTGTGAGAAGAGCTAGATATCAAATGGTTAGTTTAAGATCTTGAAAACAGTATCTGAAGGCATGGTGAAATCAAATTTCAATGGAGTTTTTGAAAAGCAATTGGATGTATACTGGAAGACGGCTGATGTGTAGGTTTATGGGGAAAAGATAAGGCTATGGGACTAACTTGTAAGCTAATGTCTGCTGACACACAATGTCTCTTGTAACTGCTCATGGGTATCAATGTGGAAATGCACATATGCACAATTCCAGAAGCACCACGCATCACATAGAACTCCAATGATGTCACGTACAAAGGAACTGTGCACAGGCAGAAAAGAGCACCATTGAAACAGAGTTCAGCAGGAAGGATCAACCGTGGGGGAAGGGTGTGGTAAGGTAGTGAAGGGGATGGGAGTGATTGAGGACAGTGGCCTTGAGGAGGTGGGTGGGTGGCGCCATCACCCCTATCCTGCTTCATCCCACCCTTCAACTTTTAACTCTCATACTTCCTTCAGCCCCTTACTGCCCCAACCGCTTCATAAACCCCCACTTTTCCCTCTTCTCCACACGCCAGTTCTCTCCCTCTCCCCCTCCCCCACCTTCCCACAGCAAGTTTAATGTTGAGCCTATTTAAATGCTCATACTTACAAAATATCAAAATTTTATAGACTGAGTTTAAAAGGATTTTTATGCTAGAAAGTCTTACAGTTTGATTTTTGCATAAAGGATAAGGGTATTCATTTATATTTCACATTCCTATGAAAATTCTATATTTCTGATGCCCATGCTGCTAGCATGTGGCTTCAGAACAAGTTTAGAAGGAAATGTGACAGATAATGAGCTGGTGTACAAATTGTTTCTAAGGTCTTGGATTAGTAATAATTCTGAGTGAATACTGTATTGTTAAAGGCTGGTTTAATATTTAATTACATACTTTCTAGTCAGTTAACCAAGTATCTGTTTTTTAACAAAAGTCTTTTTAATTAGCTGTACTCAACTTTATTTTTGGTCTTGTCTTGCAGGGTCGTGGCTTGAATGTGATGACTTGAAAGGTTCTAATAGTTGTCGGCATTCAGTTTTAAATGTTCCTGCGTATGAAATTCACATTGTCATCTGGGAAAAGATTGGCCTTGAAAATCCAACACGAAGCAGCAACATGTTTTCATTTAGTTATTCAACCTCTACAACTGTCCCAACCTTGACAAGCAATGCCACTACCTCTGTGTCACAGCAGCTCTGTGAAACATCATTAAATAGTCCTGTTCGGTTAAGTTCAGTCAAGAAACCAATGATCAGTACACATCCTGAGATTACACCTAATGCAAACTGTGTAAAGGCAGGTGAACAAGGCACTTCAAATAATAACTTGCTTTCAGGTTTGGAACATTTGACAGATGATGCAGTGGTAACGCTGAATCTTGTGGAAGTTAAAGTAGACAATGAGGGGAACCCAGTGGACAATTCACAATTCACATCAAGTGCTGAACAAGACGATTTGCAGAATCAGCAGAAAACTCTACAGAATTCATCTCTTGTGACTCAGGTGGCTGCTGACCATGATGTATCCGTACAATCTTGTACTGATACACAGTATTCTAAGGACATTTTCCAACAAATAAACCGGGCAACTGTCATAGAAGGTGACATGCCTCAAAAAAATGTTTTAGAATCCAAAGCATCTTCATGGCCACCTAGACCATCTCGGCTACAAGAAATTGCTGTGGCTGGTGCCTCATCTGCAGTATTACGAAAAGATAATTTAACAAGTTCAAATGCCTGTCCTCCTCACGAAAGAAAAACTGCATCCGATTGTTCAGAAATGTCTATACAGTCAAAGGCAAAAGTACAAAAGGAAGATCACACCAAAATCCCAGTATCTGAGATCTTGAAAAAGTCTACTGTAAATGGGTCATCGGCTGATATTTCTCAACCTGTAGCAGCTAAAAGAAGCTTTGCTGTAGGTTGGACGAGGAACTTGTTCAACCGTCACCTTTCAACGCTGGCAAGCAACCAACCTAGAATATTGCCTCGGAATGAAGTTAAAAATGCTCCCAAAGGCAATGTTTCATTAAAAACGTTTGATCTAAAGTACCCTGTAAAGGAGCGTTTTGATGGTTTCAAGACCAAATATTCCTCAAAACGTGCACAGAGCGTCAAAGAATTATCTGTCTGTCAAGATTCAAATATCCCTAATGCTGCTTGTATACAAAATGACAACTATTTGCCTCAAAATTCGGGTAACATGAAGGAGAACTGCAAAATGTTGTTGCCTAAGACAGTCCCTTCTGGTATCCATACATTAAACAAAACATTTCTTAATTCATCAAAATGTGCTGATCTCTCAAAATGTGAAACGAGGACTTGTAATATGAAGAGTCAGTGCTCCAGTTCAAACAAGCAAACAGAACTGAATTATGCCAGCTCAAAAGCTCATAGTCTTCGTCTCAAGTTGCTCAAAAAACTTAAAGACAAAAAAGATCAGCTAAGTTCGCTTGACCAGCTAATGAAGATTAAGCAGTTGGGTGAATTTGACAATGTATATGCTAGTACTTCTAGTCTTGAAGGACAGTTAAACGTTGCAAACAATGGAAGTGCATTGTACGATGATGTATTGAATGAACTTTGGCGTGAGCTTGGCGTTGAAAATGATAAGTCAGTTTATACAGCCAGTTCAAGTGCTTCATTGAATAGTAGCCCAGACCATGATGAATTACTTGCAGAACTTTTCACCCCACCTACAACCGCTACTACATCTAATTATGTGCAAAGTAGTGACTCATGGCTTTGTGGAAGAGCAGCAAACTGTAAACCAAGTAATGACTGTACCACAGCTCCAAGGACTGTTAGTGGTGACCACATATCACCAGTTTACGAGAGCCCCACAAAGGAGGAAATGTTAGTAGATTTGTTGTCCACATCCACTCTTAACTCTTTAACGGGAGATCACGATGAATTGCCTAACTTTGATGAAAATCTTTTTGAAAACTGCTAGGAAATGGTCATTTTGATAAAGCAATGAGGAAATATTGTCTCCTATAATTTAGAACTTACTGAGTAAATTGTGTCCAGTTTCTTGCATGTTTAAAAAAGGTTTTTTAAATTTTGAGTCAAATGAATGGTTAATGCATTCTGTGAATGTACTTAATTTGTTTTCAGGTAGTTTGTGGTATTTGCAAGATGTGTGAGGTTGCAATGACACTACTGAATAAAATATTGGTAATGCATATTTAATACATGTTGCTGACATCCTGTTAAGAACAAAAAAGTAAACCAGATGTTCTTGACAAATGGAGTTCAATTTGCGGTTAGTGCTTTAATATATTTGTGAATACCATATTTTTGTTAAAATTAATTTGAAGTGCAATTTGTTAACCCTTATTATTTGTAAACTGCAAATATTTAAATCATTTGCAATGATTATATTTCAAATATTTTGAAAATGTTATTACAGACAGACTAACAAAATTGAGTAAAATCAAATTAACAGTTTACTGAAAAGATTGACTAAGTTCACTAGCATGAACCAATTGATCTATTGGAATAATTTCAAGTCTGTAATGCTATCTGAGGTCAGCTATAATCCACTTCAGTTTGGATTGTTGTTCCTGTCATCTAAATTCATTCATTAGATTCTTATTCTATACATTCTCCGTCACGTGTACTTTTTACTTAAATGGAAAAATGTAATGAGAAATATTTGCCAGTCATGCAATATGGTTTATAATTGCGGCAAATGATAGTTCTTTCAGTTAAAGTTGTGAAGGGAGCTAGACTTGCAATTTAATTTAGCATATCATGTAAATAAGGGTGACGTTTTTGAAATAAATTCAGTCACTATTGTGATATGTTTGAAAAAAGACAAGATGCTTGAGACAAACAGGCCAATTAGGATCTGTGGAGAGAAGATCGTTATTAATCTTGTGGGCAGGAGCCTTCTTCAGGCTTCTGTCCAACACATCAACTGGTTTTCTCTTCATGGATGGTGTTTTTTCAACTTTTTAAATTTTCTTTCAGAGCTCCAACATTTGTAGTTCCTGAGTTATTTTATTTTGTATAATGCAAATGTTGTTTCATGGGTTTTGAAAGTTCAATGTAGAAATTTGTGCTGGAAGCTCTAAGATATGGATATGTTTTGTTAAGTGGGCACAAAGTTAAACTGATTTATTTAAGGGATGTTTTGATATCTAATAAAGTTTACTGTTCTTAATGTTTGAAGTCTGTATAAGCCATGCATATTATGCTGAGAATTACACTAGTAGAACATTACTCGAGCCAGACCATCAATACAAGACAAAGCAAATAACAATTTTAGTGGACTCTTAGTAGCCCAGAGTACTTTATATACTTTCCAATGCTCGTGCAAAATTATTTGTGGTGTATTTAGTTTTAGTTCCTCTGACTTTGTAAGTTATTAGCTGTTTGGTCTTTGTACTTTCAATAAAAATGTTGTGCTGGTCAAGCGACCAAACAATAAACTTATTCCAATTTACCTAACCTTCAGGTGGTCAATAGTCTAAATGTATCTAATCCAGCATTCTGGTATTAATTTAACATAATATCTTGCGTTCTGGAACTCTCCTTGCAAAACACACAATTGGCTCAAATAAAAGTCACCAGTGGAATAGAGAATAAAGTTTATCTGACGTGCAGAGCAGGAGGTGCTAGGGATTTAGGATGGGTAATTGAAATAAGATAAGGTATAAATGAGCATTTTTGTGTTGTTTGAAGAAGTTTAATTGGTGGGTTGTAGATGTGGCAGTATGTCAAAGACAACGTTGAGGTTATGAATTGGTGCAGTTAACCCTGGGTGGGTAGACAGGAAGCTGACAGATGTAAAATTTAAGCCTTTAATAGCAAGAGTACCACTTCTTTATATTAGGAACTTCCCCATACCTGGTCAATGCCAGAAATCCTGGACTGGTGCATCCCGATACTTTGTTTAGAGTGTATTGCAAATCAATACAGATTTGGAAATGAAAATAATGTAATTATGGTCAACTGGAGTGATCAAGACTAAATGATAACTTGAAATATTGAAGATTGCCTTATACTGATAAGACATGGACTAATCATTCTTTGTACCTTAGAAATGCTCAATGTCTCGGGCACAGGAAAGAGAAAACGTTTTTGAGACCAGTCACAAGCCGGGCCAGAGTCCTTAATGTATTGTCCCAAAATTTCCTGAGGGTTGGACTGCATCTGTATCAGATGTAAGCGAGGTCAACCTAAGCAAATGGAAGGAGGGTAGGATGTGATAAGTCCTGTTTTCCTTTGGAACATTCTGCAAATGCCTTTTAGGCACAGCATCCAGAAGAAATGGTCTCTTAAGTTTGCCCCCAGCTTAAATTTAAAATCAGCTGTGCTCTGGTTGCCATCTGTTGCAGCCATGCAGAAGATGTTTCTTTGGAGGGGTCTAGTACTGGTGCTTTTGGGTTTACTGTCTGTTATTACTTTACTGCATGTCCAGGAAAATGTGTATTGCTGAATGAAATAAGTGTTGGGCATTCAGTAGAGGCCATACCTCCAGCATGCTTTTAACTTGATATTATTACTATTATGTACCTCTTCCTTGAGGCTTTTACCTATCTAGCTGATATTCCTTTACTGCAAAGCTAACATAAGAAACTTGTTATTAAAAGCTTCCATCTTGCTGTGGAGAGATTTCAATCTATTCCTCACATCTGTCAACCTGCTCTGAAAACTGCTCATATTTTGTGATCTATGACAGATTTTACAACAGGAGCTGAGGCAATCCATAAGACTAAAACAGTCAGCATTCTAAGTAAAACAACACTCAACATTCTTTTAAAAACAACCAAACCAATTCAATCAATCCCCTAATATGCATGAATCCTTAAAATCCCAGGATCCAGATTTGTATCTTCACCAAAAACAAATGGTTCTTTGGATATTACCTTATTTGTATACTAAATTTAATTGAAATCTGTCAATTAGTTTGAGATATATTTATAGACAAATAGATTAACACTGGCAAAACATTACCTTGGCCATTGAAGGTGAGCAGAAGTAATAAGTCCAATGTCCATATTCTTTATCATTGTAACGTATTCCTGATAAGATAAATGAACTAGTGCCTCAAAGAGATTTAGATTTATTCATTGGTTACAAATGACCAAGGTTGGGAAATAAATATTCCAAGATCTACAGTATTTTGGAAATACCGATAGAATGACAAAAGAATAGGGATAGCCCAGATAGTAAAGGATGACTCTGAGGAAGGGTCAGTGGACCCGAAAAGTTAACTCTGTTTTCTCCTTCTCAGATGCTGCCAGACCTGCTGAGCTTTTCCAGCAACTTTGTTTTTGTCACTGTATCTAACATCTTAGTAGGTTTAAAAATGATTCAGGAAGGGGATAAGCCAACCATGGTTAATCAAGAGTTGAGGGCAGCATCGTATATCGTCAAACGTGTTGGGCCATCTGCATGCTTTATGACCTAGGGTTGCCTAATCTTCAGTGAGGATTCCTTTACAAATAGTTGATGTTTGTTGCCATGCTTCACCATGAAATGTGGTGTTACTGATTATCTGCAATTATAGCATTTCAATACTTTTTGGTTTAATTTATTACTGTCACGTGTGCCAAGGTACAGTGAAAAGTGTTGTCTTACATGCTTTACAGGCAGATTGTACTATACCAGCGTATCAGGGTAGAAGAGAGTGCAGGATAAGTGTTACAGCTGCCGAGAAGGTGCAAATGTGGAGGTGCCTGTGTTGGACTGGGGTGAACAAAGTCAGAAGTCACACGACACCAGGTTATAGTCCAACAGGTTTATTTGGAATCACACAAGTTTTTGGAGTGCAGCCCCTTCGTCAGGTGCAGTGAGAGCAGGACACAGAATTTGTAGGCAGAGAGATCAAAAGATCACACAACTAGTGTGAGTGGAGTGTCAGATAATAAGTCTCTGCAGATGACCAAGAGTGTTAGACAATGTGTAAACTGTTTATAAAGTCAATGTCAGTGCTATGCTGTCATGACAATCAGGTAGAGCCACAGGAATATACAAAAGGTGACATCTCAAGTTAGACACAATAGTAAGTGTGAGTTTTTGTTCAGAACCTGTCTGAATTGAACCTGGAATGAGGTTAGTTTTATTCCAAAAGCTGGAATTTATAAGGTGCCACACTGACTGACTGTGATTACAAATTGTATGCTTATTTTAAACAAAATAGAATGTATCTGCAAATTAACAAGCATCTTGGATGAAATGATTCACTCCTTAGATTTGTGTGTGTGTGTGTGTGTGTGTGTGTTGTGAGAAAGAAAGTGTATATGAATGTGTGTATAATAAGTAATTTAAACCAATACAAACTAATTAAGATAGAGAGATCATAATAATTTATCAAGGTGATGCTGTCAGAAGAGGAAATTAAGGAAGATTTTACAGATACAGAATAATGTAGTGGGGTCACCTGCAGCGCGACATGAACCCAAGATCATGGTTGAAGCCATCTTCATGGGTACGGAACTTACCTATCAGTTTCTGCTCGGCGATTCTGCGTTGTTGTGCATCTCGAAGGCTGCCTTGGAAGACTCTTACCCGAAGATTGAAGGCTGAATGCCTTCTGAGTGTTCTCTGACTGGGAGGGAATGTTCCTGTCTGGCAATCATTGCGCAGTGTCCATTTATTCGTTGTCATAGGGTCTGCATGGTCTCGCCAATATACCATGCCTCGGGGCATCCATGCCTGCAGTGTATGAGATAGACAACGACTGGCCAAGTCACTTGAGTATCTGCTGTGAACGTGGTGGGTGGTGTTCCCACGTATGATGGTAGTATCCAGGTCGATGATCTGACCTGTCTTGCAGAGGTGCCAAGGCAGGGTTGTGTGGTGTTGTTGTCGATTGTTGTCCTGAAGCTTGGGTAGTTTGCTGTGACCAATGGTCTGTTTAAGGTTTGGCGGTTGTTTGAAGGCGAGGTGTAGGGAAGATCTTGGCGAGATGCTCATTGTCATTGATGACATGTTGAAGGCTGCAAAGAACATGGCGCAGTTTCTGTGCTCCGGGGAAGTACTGGACAATGAAGGGTACTCTATCGGTCTTATCCTGTGTCTGTCTTCTGAGGAGCTCATTGCGGTTTTTCGCTGTGGCATGTCGGAACTGGTGATTGATGAGTTGAGCATTGTATCCCGTTCTTATGAGGTTGTCTTTCAAAACCTTCAGGTATCCATCGCGTTCCTCCTCATCTGAGCAGATTCTGTGTGCGTGCAGGACCTGTCCATAGGGGATGGCTTCTTTAATATTTGAGATGGAAGTTAGAGAGGTGCAGCAGCGTGAGGTTATCTGTGGGCTTGTGATAGTGAGGTGCAGAGAGAGATCATATTAGCATTTAAGAGGTCCATTTAAAAGTCTGATAACAACGGGGAAGAACCTGTTCTCTAATCTGTTTGCACATGTATTTAAACGGGTCACTTAGTATTGAAGATTGCAATAATGCTGCATTTTATTGTAACACCTGGTACCTACATATGTAGGGATAGTAAGAACTGCCGATGCTGGAGTCTGATAT